AAAAACCTAAGCTGTCGTTTCTAAAAGTTTGGGGATGCGATGCTTATGTCAAGAAACTTCAACCTGAAAAGCTCGAACCCAAGTCGGAAAAATGCGTCTTCATAGGATACCCTAAAGAAACCATTGGGTATACCTTCTACTTAAGATCCGAGGGCAAGAACTTTGTTGCCAAGAATGGATCCTTTCTGGAAAAAAAGTTTCTCTTGAAAGAAGTAAGTGGGAGGAAAGTAGAACTTGATGAAGTACTACCTCTTGAACGGGAAAGTAGTGCAGCTCAGGAAAATGTTCCTGTGATGCCTACACCAACTGAAGAGGAAAATAATGATGATGATCAAGGTACTTCAGATCAAGTTGCTACTGAACTTCGTAGGTCCACAAGGACACGTTCCGCACCAGAGTGGTACGGCAACCCTGTCCTGGAAATCATGTTGTTAGACAATGGTGAACCTTCGAACTATGAAGAAGCGATGGAGGGCCCAGATTCCAACAAATGGCTAGAAGCCATGAAATCCGAGATAGAATCCATGTATGAAAACAAAGTATGGACTTTGACTGACTTGCCCGATGATCGGCGAGCGATAGAAAACAAATGGATCTTTAAGAAGAAGACGGACGCGGATGGTAATGTCACCATCTATAAAGCTCGACTTGTCGCTAAGGGTTATCGGCAAGTTCAAGGGATTGACTATGATGAGACTTTCTCTCCCGTAGCGAAGCTTAAGTCCGTCCGAATCATGTTAGCAATTGCCGCATACTATGATTACGAGATATGGCATATGGACGTCAAAACGGCATTCCTTAACGGGCATCTTAAGGAAGAACTGTATATGATGCAGCCGGAGGGTTTTGTCGATCCTAAGAATGCTAACAAAGTATGCAAGCTCCAGCGATCCATTTATGGGCTGGTGCAAGCATTTCGGAGTTGGAACATTCGCTTTGATGAAATGATCAAAGCGTTTGGGTTTATGCAGACTTATGGAGAAGCCTGTGTTTACAAGAAAGTGAGTGGGAGCTTTGTAGCATTTCTCATATTATATGTAGATGACATACTTTTGATGGGAAATGATATAGAATTCTTGGACAGCATCAAGGCCTACTTGAATAAGTGTTTTTCAATGAAGGACCTTGGAGAAGCTGCTTATATATTAGGCATCAAGATCTATGGAGATAGATCGAGACGCCTCATAGGTCTTTCACAAAGCACATACCTTGATAAGATTTTGAAGAAGTTCAAAATGGATCAGTCCAAGAAGGGGTTCTTGCCTGTATTGCAAGGTGTGAGATTGAGCTCGGCTCAATGCCCGACCACGGCAAAAGATAAAGAAGAGATGAACGTCATCCCCTATGCCTCAACCATAGGATCTATTATGTATGCCATGCTGTGTACCAGACCTGATGTAAACCTTGCCGTAAGTTTGGTAGGAAGGTACCAAAGTAATCCCGGCAAGGAACACTGGACAACGGTCAAGAATATCCTAAAGTACCTGAAAAGGACGAAGGACATGTTTCTCGTTTATGGAGGTGACGAAGAGCTCGTCGTAAAGGGTTACGTCGACGCTAGCTTCGACACAGATCTAGATGACTCTAAGTCACAAACCGGATACGTGTATATGTTGAATGGTGGAGCAGTAAGCTGGTGCAGCTGCAAGCAGAGCGTCATGGCGGGATCTACATGTGAAGCGGAGTACATGGCAGCCTCGGAGGCAACGCATGAAGCAATTTGGGTGAAGGAGTTCATCACCGACCTAGGAGTCATACCCAGTGCATCGGGGCCGATCAAACTCTTCTGTGACAACACTGGAGCTATTGCCCTTGCCAAGGAGCCCAGGTTTCACAAGAAGACCAGGCACATCAAGCGTCGTTTCAACTCCATCCGTGAAAATGTTCAAGATGGAGACATAGATATTTGCAAAGTACATACGGATCTGAATGTCGCAGATCCGTTGACTAAACCTCTCTCGCGAGCAAAATATGATCAACACCAGAACTCTATGGGTGTTCGATTCATCACAATATAACTAGATTATTGACTCTAGTGCAAGTGGGAGACTGTTGGAAATATGCCCTAGAGGCAATAATAAAAGCATTATTATTATATTTCCTTGTTCATGATAATTGTCTTTTATTCATGCTATAATTGTATTATCCGGAAATTGTAATACATGTGTGAATACATAGACCACAATACGTCCCTAGTAAGCCTCTAGTTGACTAGCTCGTTGGTCAACAGATAGTCATGGTTTCCTGACTATGGACATCAGATGTCATTGACAACGGGATCACGTCATTAGGAGAATGACGTGATGGACAAGACCCAATCCTAAGCATAGCACAAGATCGTGTAGTTCGTTTTGCCAGAGCTTTTTCAATGTCAAGTATCTCTTCCTTAGACCATGAGATCGTGTAACTCCCGGATACCGTAGGAGTGCTTTGGGTGTACCAAACGTCACAACGTAACTGGGTGACTATAAAGGTGCACTACAGGTATCTCCGAAAGTGTCTGTTGGGTTGACACGGATCGAGACTGGGATTTGTCACTCCGTATGACGGAAGAGGTATCTCTGGGCACACTCGGTAATGCATCATCATAATGAGCTCAAAGTGACCAAGTGTTTGGTCACGGGATCATGCATTACGGTACGACTAAAGTGACTTGCCGGTAACGAGACTGAACGAGGTATTGGGATACCGACGATCGAGTCTCGGGCATGTAACGTACCGATTGACAAAGGGAATAGTATACGGGGTTGCTTGAATCCTCGACATCGTGGTTCATCCGATGACATCATCGAGGAGCATGTGGGAGCCAACATGGGTATCCAGATCCCGCTGTTGGTTATTGACCTGAGAGCCGTCTCGGTCATGTCTGCATGTCTCCCGAACTCGTAGGGCCTACACACTTAAGGTTCGGTGACGCTAGGGTTATTAGGAAGACTTGTATGTGATTACCGAATGTTGTTCGGAGTCCCAGATGAGATCCCGGACATCAGAGGAGTTCCGGAAGGGTCCGGAGGTAAAGATTTATATATGGGAAGTTGTCAAACGGACACCGGAAAGTTTCGGGGCATATCGGTATTGTACCGGAGCCACCGGAAGGGTTCCGGGGGTCCACCGGGAGGGGCCACCCCTCCCGGGGGGGGCCACATGGGCTGCATGGGGCAGGAGCCAGCCCCTAGAGGGGGCGCCTAGGGTTGGGGGGGGGGAACCCTAGAGGGGGCGCCCCCCTTTGCTTGGGGGGCAAGTCCCCCCTCCCTGCCCGCCGCCCCCTCTAGATCCCATCTAGAGGGGCCGCCCCCCTTGCCCCTTCCCCTATAAATAGAGGGGTGAGGGGAGGGCTGCACACGCAAGCCAAGGTGCAGCCCCTCCCCTCCCCAACACCTCTCCTCCTCCGTACGTGCTTGGCGAAGCCCTGTCGGAGTACTGCTGCACCAACAACACCACGCCGTCGTGCTGCCGTTGGAGCTGTCTTCCTCAACCTCTCCTTCCTCCTTGCTGGATCAAGACGGAGGAGACGTCGCCCGTACCGTACGTGTGTTGAACGCGGAGGTGCTGTCCGTTCAGCACTTGGTCATCGGTGATCTGAATCACGTCGAGTACGACTCCATCATCACCGCTCCCTCGAACGCTTCCGTACGCGATCTACAAGTGGTATGTAGATGCAAACTCACTCCCTTGACTCGTTGCTTAGATGAACTCATAGATGGATCTTGGTGAAACCGTAGGAAAAAATTTAATTTTCTGCAACGTTCCCCAACAGGTATCCATGTGATATAAGCCAAGCTTCTCGATGATGGCCCTTCAAAGTCTAATCGTGTAGCGACACTCGAAGAAAAAGGTGAGCACATATTTCTTGCTCCCTCTTGCAAGGTGTTGCACTCAAACAACCCTTCTCAAAATGGAATGACGATGAGAATACATGAGCGTTCGTGTTTGCTAACGACAAGTTCTGCCTAAAATTACAACTTGTGGCAATCAATATGCACAGCCTGAGATGGACAGGGGGCATCGCCACGACGCCGAGCCAGGAGCAACCTAAACCGCCACAACTGGGAACGACACGGCAGTGGCGTCGCCGGTGGAGGGAAGTCGGGGTTGACAGGTTCAAGTGTGCCGGGAAGAGAGCACGGGGATTTTCAAAGCACAGGCGCTCGGACCACGTTATCTGGGACGCTGGCTGGGAAGATTGATCAAAACCATTACCAGAGTACACCCGCAAAAAAAAATCCATTACCAGAGTACATGCATTGGGCACTGGTGACCACGCGAGACGGTGAGACGCGTCCCCGTTCAGTACTCCCTACATTCCAAAATATAGTGTGCCCGCGTCTCTCGAGGTTCAACTTTGATCATAAATTTAACCAACGAGACCGTCTATGACGGGAGAAAAAACTATATAATTAAAAACTTCTTTTGCATACGAATTCACTGATGTAACTTTTGCTTTCGTCATAACCGGTTTTGTTGGTTAGATTTATGGTTAAAATTGAAGCACGGATATATTTTAAAACAGAGGGAGTATTTCCGTTCTGGTACACCGTGTCGCCTGCCTGCATCAAATCAAGAGACCAAGCCAGACAAAAGCACCGTGTGGCCTCAAGGCGCGCACCATGGCCCCTCGCTCAATCTTATAAAGCTACCAATATTCCCATTGTCCTCCAAAAACTACTACTCTCCATCGCCCATCCCAATAAACTAGTGCTTAAACCAGAAAAATTACGACTAATGGGATAAAACTACACTGATGATGCATGGCGACTCTGTCGATCCCGAAGAAGACAAAGGTCATGCGTCAAAGATAGAATCGTGGCCGGCCGCTGCTCTGGCATCGCATGGCGTCCAGACCTGCGTGTCATGGCATGCATTTGCGAGGGGAATCCATCCAGCGCTCGAAAAATCGACTACATTTTGAAAGCAACTTACAAACAACCAGTGCATGCATGCATGAGAATTTTGGAGTACTTAACAAATGGTAGAAGTACAACAGAATTGGCGACGCCTACTCATGCATGCTCGGCGTCGGCACCTGTCCACATGTTCGCCACCTCGTCCAGCGCGGCCGTGGCGGCACCTCCCTCGAGGAGGCCTTCAATGGCGGCCTTCTGCAACGTCGCCACCTTAGCTCTCACCTCGGCGCCTTTGCCTTGGCCAGCCATCACCTCCCTCACCGCCGCGGCGATCTCCTCCTTTTTCTTGGTCGCCGGCACCCGCACGGCGGCCCCGACGCCCTCCGAGAGCATCACGGCGTTCTGCCGCTGCTCGGCGAAGAGCGGCCACGCGACCATGGGCACGCCGTGCACCAGGCTCTCCAGGACCGAGTTCCACCCGCAGTGCACCAGGAAGCACCCCGTGGCCTCGTGAGCGAGCACCTCCGTCTGCGGCGCCCACGACGGCACGAGGAGGCCGACGCCCTTGGTCCGCTCCACGAACCCCGCCGGGAGGTAGGCCAGGGGGTCCCTCTTGCTCTCGGCGTCGTAGTAGTTGGCGTTGACGGCCCCCTCGTCGCTCGGGCTCCGCACCACCCACAGGAAGCGCTGCCCGCTGAGCTCCAGCCCCAGCGCCAGCTCGTGCATCTGCTCGGTTGGGAGGGAGCCCCCGGAGCCGAACGAGACGAAGACGACCGACCTGGGCGGCTGCCGGTCGAGCCAGTCCAGGCAGGCGGCGCGCGGCGCGTCGGTGGCGACGGGCGCGGCGTCGGTCCGTATGATGGGACCGATGCTGTACACCGGCGGGCGGCCGGGCTCCGGGCGGCCGAGCACCGTGGCGGCGTCCGGCTCCAAGACGTCGAAGGAGTTTACCAGGATGGCGTCGGCCTCGCGGTAGCGCGCGCCGTGGTGCACCATCCACCGGTAGCTCGGGCTGGACTTGTCCTGCAGCGGCGAGAGGATGTCCACCCCCGGGATGGGCACGCAGCCGGGGAGCCTGACGGGCTCGGCCAGGTCCCGGAACTCGCCGGGCATGGAGACGTGGAGCTCCGGGAGGTGGAGGATGAGCGTGAGCCCCTGGAGGTTCCCGGGGAAGAAGAGGTACCTCCTGGGCACGGCGGCGGCCACGGCGGCGTCGAAGGAGTCGGCCCCGAAGAGGTCGGCGAAGTAGGCGACCAGGCGCGTGGTGTCCATGAGCCGCGAGAGGGCCTCCGTGAGCGCCGGCACCAGCCGCGCGCACTCCTCGGACATGAGCATCTCGATGGAGGCGTCGGGCGGCAGGTCGGAGAGGTCGACGGGCGGGAGGGAGAGGGAGGAGATGGCCGGCGGGAGGGAGGCGAGGAAGGCCCGCTGCGTGGCGGACGCCGTGGAGGCGAAGGTGATGAGCGTGGCCTCGACGCCGTGCCGCGCGGCGAGGCGCTTGGCCAGCTCGGCCAGCGGGATCAGGTGGCCCATCCCGGGCGTCACCAGCATGGCGACGTGCGGAGGGCGGCGAGCCTCGGCCGCGCCGCCGCTGATGCCGTTCGCCTCCATTGTTTCTCCCGCCGCTGATCCCGTGTGTCTTTGTCGGCAGGGACAGATTCTCCGGGCGTGGGATGATCTGATTTGATGTACGGGAGGGTGGTGGTTTGGTTGGACTGATGTACGGGTGGGGTTTTATAAGCTTGTGGCGCATTCCTACCTACCAGAAGTTATATTTTTATACCGTACCAAATACCAAGTACAGATACCATTCATACAAAACGAAATTTCTCCGTGGCGGCTACGCGGCCACGCACGGGTGATTTGTGGTATACAAGTCTATGGTGTACTCCTAACTTCCAACAGTTCTATTTTTCATAAGTTTGTGGTGCATTCCTACCTACCAAAAGTTGTAGTTTTGTACCGAATAATTAGAGATACCAACCATTCATACGGAAAATTCTCACTGGCGGCTACGCGGCCATGCAAGGGTACTTTGAGGGTTTTATTATAAGTTCTTGTGCATTCCTACCTTCCAACAGTTTTATTTTACCAAGAACGAAACTTTCAAACAGCTAGGTACCAATCATTTAAACAGAATCCCCCCTGGCGGCTAAGGGTGGTGGTTTGAGACTTTTTCTCCTCTTCCATTTCCTAGGTGGGGACATGCATATGTGTTTTTTTCTCTTAAAAAGTTCCTGAACCGAAAGAGTTCAATTTTTTGGAATTTTTTTAACTCAAAATTTCTAAAGTGTCGAGAATTCTCGGAAGCCAGTACTACAATTTCTAAAGTGTCCAAAATGAAAAGTTACCAAAACTAAAATCGCCAGCAAAAAAATCAAAACGAAAATAGGCTTGGAAAAATGGCCATACCGGGCTCGTGGGACAGGTGACAGCCACAGGCTTGTGGAACGGACAAACGCCAACTAGCCCAGTTGCAACACTGCCATTTCTTTCTTTTAATCAAAAGGCCACATAATTCTCAAAAAAAGAATCAAAAGGCCAGATGATCGATCACTTGTACTCCATTAATTAGTTATGTTCTTCTATACTTTTGTAGGGAGCAACTAATTAACGAGCGCTCCTTCGAGAGCCTCGCAACGATCAGCGTCACTTGGCGCGCTCATAGCCATTCGCCACGTGTCGCGCTCTGGACGCTCCCTCCGGATTTTATTTTTTTTATTTTTCCACACGCGTTTTTGGCTTTTTAAAAGGGTCTTTTTCAGTTTTTTTTGACATTTTGGTTTTCTACCGGTCTTTCCTAGCTTTTCGACCAAATTTTTTTTTTCGAAAAAAATATTTTTTTTGCGCAAAAAATGCATTTTTTTTCGTGAGAGGCACGGTTTTGCTTCCGCCAGAGGCACGGGCGTGCCTCTTACGGAAAGGAAAAAAACGTGTTTTTTGTTTTTTTTTCTTCTTTTGCGAGAGGCACGGTTTTGCATCCGTCAGAGGCACGGTTGTGCTTTCGCGAGAGGCACGGACGTGCCTCTTTCGGAAAGGGAAAAAATATGTTTTCTGTTTTTTTTTCTTTCGCGAGAGGCACGGTTTTGCTTCCGCCAGAGGCACGGTTGTGCTTTCGCGAGAGGCACGGGCATGCCTCTTTCGGAAAGGGAAAAACACGTTTTCTGTTTTTTCTTTCTTTCGCGAGAGGCACGGTTTTGCTTCCGCCAGAGGCACGGTTGTGCTTTCGCAAAAGGCACGGCGTGCCTCTTTCGGAAAAGAAAAAAAAACGGGTTTTCTGTTTTTTTTTCTTTCGCAAGAGGCACGGTGTTGCTTCCGTCAGAGGCACGGTTGTGCTTTCGTCATAGGCACGGGCGTGCCTCTTTCGAAAAGGGAAAAAAACCGTGTTTCCAGTTTGGTTTTTTCGTCCGGTTTTTCGTGAAAAAAAGTTCGTCAAAACCTATCAACATAGGATCGAATTTTAAAGATCTCGACGCGAGGAATCCAATGACGAAAGCGGTTCGAGATTTGGACGCACGGTTTAAGAGATAAAACATTTTGAATAAACGGATGTACGAAAAAAGAGAAAACTCCCAGGTTGCGACAAGTGGCGCACATGCAGCGCGCCATTTGTTGCAACCTGAGAAAGTTGGAGTGATCTCCGCAAGGAGTACTCCTTAATTAGTGATTTCGACTTTTGTATCGTTGCGTGAAACGATTTGATTCTGGAGATCGTTTCTGAATGCAACTTGGGTGTCGAAAATTAGAGTTTAAGGCCACTAGCCTCTCAGCCAGTACCAGGCCCGGGCCCACAGTGGTGCCACATGTGCAGCCCGCACAGGGCCCACGATTTTGGGGGGCCCCAGAATATATATATAGGCATATAGTTGTATTAAAAAAACGACTGGACGTCGTGGCTCGTGGGCGCCTCGATCGATCTGGCCACCGCACCGTGAGCGCCTCGATCGAGCTGGGCGCCTGGGCTAGTGGGCCTCTAGGCAAGTTGCCTCGAGCGACCTGAGCCAGTGGGCCTGTAGGCCAGGTGCGCAGGTCATCGATCGGCTCTGGTGCTCAGCGATTGATTGATCGAATCGATCAGCCGATGTAAAAAAGAAGACGGGATCGCTATTCCCTAAACGCTGTCTCCGTCTGCTCCCTTCTCGATCGATCTGGTGCTCGCGGCTCGCCAAAACGTCTTCCCATTGAAATCTGGAGTCTGTAGACGTGATCGCACTATGGCGTCTTTGGTAAGAAAAGATTATCTCGTCGCCTTCGTCGTTCGCATCATCACAGATCACTTCATCTGTTCATCAGATCGATCCCGCGATCCGATTCAGGCCGCCGTCGAGACTCGTCGTCTCGTCGGATCGATCCCAGTTCATCCGTGCAGGACACAAAACTAGGTGAGTTAAACAGTTCATCTAAGTGCCAAACATTGGACGCATGATCTCCAATCGATATATGCTACTGTATAATTTCAATTTCATTGTATTCATCTTTTTAATATTATGTTTCAATAATATAGATTTGAGTCATCATGGGAAAAGATCAGTCTAGCGCCTACAAGTGCAAGAGAAAAGCAGAAGAACAAAATTTAATTAATAAATCTTATAAAGGCGGCATGGACAAATTTGTTAGAAAAAAGGCACCACAAGTTTTTCTAAATTGAAGCTATTGAAATCCTATACGCGTACTACTATGACACAACAAAGACTCAATGATTTGGCTACAATAGCACTTGAGAGTGAAGTCTTGAAGAAGATTGATTATGAGGATATCATTGAAGATTTCATTTCAAAGAATACTGTAATAATGAGGATGTTCAAATAAATAGCAATCGGAAGTTGCATAGGTATGACTTTTTTATATGTCCAATGTTTATATAAGACATTACATTATATACATTATAATTTTTTTCTGCAGGACATATATACATTATAATTGCTCGTTAGTTTTTTTTTGTGAGATAGGGCCCATTTTTTCATTCCGCACAAGGCCTCGGATTTTGCCGGCCCGGCCCTGGCCAGTACCTATCTTTAACGACTCCTATATATCCTGCTGTAAAACAGCAGTATATGTTATGACGACTGGCCATGCTATCCTCGCGGTGACATGCTATCCTCGCGGTAGGCAAGTTGCAACACTGTCATTGTCTCCTTCTAACCTCACAGCCGCCACCTCCTCCTCCACTAAAAAGCTAAGGTTTCTGCCTCCCGCTGGCATGGCTGCAGGTCCGCCTCCTCTTCGGTGGTCCTAGGGCCATTGTGACGCGGTGGATCTCGGCAAAGGCCAGCGGGAGGGCTCCGTTTTTAGTTGTTTCTTTTAGTTTTGCTAGGGTTTGTGTCCTGCTTAGGAAGACGAGACGGTGGTGGCTCCCTGAAGATGGAATAAAGGTCTTCCGTCTAGCCCCCGTTCCAATGGTGCGTCTAACATCGTTGGTGGGCGTGTGGAGGTGTGTCTCTGGCGGATCTATCTTTGGTGGATTTGCTCGGATCTCGTCGTTGTTCGTCTATGTTCGTGTGTCTTCGGATTAGATCTTTCTGATCTACGTTATTCTTCATCTGCGGCGGTTGCTGTTCAGGTGCGCTGGTCCTATGGGGCCTTAGCACGACGACTTCCTGACCGTCTACTACAACAAGTTGTGCCCGACTCTGACGATGGAGGAGCGATGACGGTGGCGCGCCTTCGGCTCGCTTCAGTGCTAGTAGTCTCACTAGGTGGTCTACGGATCTAGATGTATTTTCTATTATTTCTGGTATTCGTTGTACAACCATGATCAAAGATGAATAGATCGGAAATTTTCTCGCAAAAAAAACCAAACTAGCAGATAGTGACCTGTGTGCATCTGCATCGCTAGATTGAATAATATTTAGTTTGTATGACAGGTTAAATAATCTTGCTGTTTGATTCCTCCTAAACTCCATGCTCCAAGTGCCAATCTTCAGATACGACAGATCAAATAGATCGATACACCGGGAATTAAATCTAAGGCCGCGCTCGTTGTTTGGATAGGAGGAATATAGAGAACGCAATCTACGTAAGCCAAGGAAACTGCCTAACCGTAAAATATCTTGTTTGGCTTGTCCAACAACCCCGTGGATAGGGAAAACTCGTTTCCCAAAAACCCATAATTCCGGGTTTGTGGGAAAACTAGTATTACTCGTTTTTTCACAAACGCGATTAGCATATACAGATGCAACTGCTTTTTTCCGCCCCCGCCTATTCCTCAACAACCTCAGATGGCGCCAATTCTGCTTTTTGCGTCTCAACTCGCGCCCTTTTCACCGCCTATAAAAGACAGACTTTGTTTCTCGCATGTTATACACCCAGATCGCAAAGGGCTGGCTATGATCCCCGTGACAGGCACTGGATGGGAGACGTTGACCTTGGATATGAAGTTGGTCATCTTCAATAAGGCTCCACATCTCCTTCAGGCTTTCCGTGCATCGTCTTCCCACCTTCAATCAGTCTTCCCATCTTCAATCAGGTTCCATGGCTTCACCATCCTACACAGCAGTATGAATTTGTATTTGTAAATATTTTCATGGTACTGTTGATTGAATTAATCTATTTGGTAGTGAACCCTATTTTGCATAAAACCTCTGATAATTTCATATGGGCAATTCCTAGGA